TATTAAAAAATTGAAGGCAAGTATATTTAAAACTTTGGACTGACTTTCTTGTCAACAACTTTTCTGTTATGCACTTACTCTGAATAGGACCTCCTTGCATGTGACTTCTAAGAAATAAAATTATAAAAAGAAATAAGAGAATGGGCACTTTGGTAATTCATTTTTTCCGCTCGATATCTGATATTTGCGTAAAAACTTGATTAAATTCAAATTTATTCATTACAAGTTCCATTTACAAGAACAAAGCTTCCAACATTTTTTTTTAAAAAAAAACTTTAATTTAAAATCTCTAATTAAGAGTAAAAAGACCTCAACCATCATGACAATAAATATTGGTCTTTGGTGATTATTTTATTATTTCTTTAAGCAAATGGAATAGGCCGACTTATCACTTGAGTCGGCCAATGAGTAACTGATTGGCACGTAGAGCTATATTTAAGATTTTTCATTATTTTATTTTGTTATTAATTATTAATATTTATATTAATATTCGAGTAATTTTAGTTTGAATCACATAAGTTCATAAAAATAAGTACTTCCCATCTAAAATAAAGTCTCATATTCAAAATTTAAATACAAAATATTTAATTAATAATAAAGAGATCTTACATCTCTCATCGCAAGCCTCTGATTAACGACTCATACTAATAAACAGTTAGAAAAAGAACTCGCACTATAAATTGTGTTTTATATTAAATCAACTAAATATCTATTATTTAGTTATAGCTAAACAAAATATATCTATACTAAGTCAACTAATTTAACTTTATAAATTAAAGTGCAAACGGAGTTAAAATACTGTTATCAAGTCATTTTAGTCTAGTTATTATTTTTTATTTTTAGAAATTAAATTATATATATTTTAATAAATTCATAAAATTTTATATTAATCAAAATCATTACGATATAGTGAGATTATTTGACAAAATAAAATAAATAAAATTTGGGGAGTAAAATGTAATTATGGATAAATGTGGGGTAACATTTTCATATTCTCCGGTCTGTCTTCCAACCAAATGCTTTGACTTCCAAATGGCCCCCGAAATCCACGGCGTCAATCACATGTGAATCTTGTCACTATTCCTTTTCCCCCACGCGCACCTCCCATGCGTTTCCATCAATCGTTACCTATCGGAAATAATATTTTTATCTTTGCAACGTAAGGTAAGGTTTGTGAATACGTACACACTATTTTCTTCGAATTTTACTTATAGAATTACCATGAATAATGTAAAGACCTTTTTATATTATGTTTTAGCAGCTTATTAGTTATTGTTAAGAAAATTGTCAATCAGGCGATATATATCTAAATGAGTAGTTTTTATACTCAACATACAATTGTGAAGTTTACCTGCCTCATTTCATCGGAAATTTCAAAGCAGCTCATAAAAATGGTACCTGAGCTAGATTCAGAACGTTGTGAGACATTTCAATTTTTTCAATAGGAGTTGAGTTGTGTCTCAATTCTAGTGACTAGTTACTAATCACCGTCTTGATAATAGTGATGGGATAAAAAAACATTATGTTGTTTGGTTGTCATGTTTGGGATAACTTATCCCACCATTTATATCATAGTGATAGGATAAGTTATCCCAGGATAGCTAACTCCAGGATAACTTATCCTGAGATAGCTTGTTTCCAACCAAACGACCCAAAGGGTATATATTTCTAATTTCTAATTGTTGTAACGGCGTAAACTAGAATTTTTTTAAAAAGGATTATACTTATTCTTTGTCATGTGTTTCTTGGTTTAGGATTCTATTTTATAGCTTGTTTGATTAAAGCAATTATACGGGTGTATATTAAGAAGTTGAGTTATGATTAATTTGCATGAATATTATACATATTTGATGAATGATGACTTGACTCGTGACATGGCAATTTTTTTAAAAAGTAATTGTATATCATCATTTGAAAAAAAGCACACAATTTGCAACTACGACAACTTTAATCAATTCATAAACCAATACTATAAATGCAACAACTAAACCATCATCATCATTAGAGATATAATATATGAAAGAGATCAATATGGAACCATTTCATTGTTGATAACTTATCAAAATATATTAGAAAAATTAAAAGTGTTTCTAAATAACCAACTCATGTTGTGGTGCAACACTGCTTCATTAGCCTTAATCAGAAGTCTTAGATTCGAACCCTAAGGAGAAAATCTTGTTGAGAGCGTCAGCCCTGAATTAATCAACTATTTGCTTGTTTATTGATTAAATTTTTCATGGCAAGACATGTCAATTATGATTAATACCATATTTAATTTTTGTATAGGTTTTTTTATCTTCCTTTTTGTTATGTTTTTGTTTCATTTTTCTTTGTTTCTTTCATGATTAGATGGATACAATTTTCTATTTTTAATTAGATGTTTTAGATTTTATTTTTTTTAAAAAAAGAAAGAAATTCAAGTATGTGAAAAATTAATAGGAGCCCCAAAAATTATATCGAGCACACAGGATAAAAACAAAAAATAACTTTAAAACAAACAAAAATAACCACTAATACAAGAATATTTGGATTATTAATTTGAAGCGTTATAATCTAACATATTAACTGGAACAAACGTGCGACATGGCGGTTGTACCGAACAAATAAATATATAGTATCCATTAATAATATACCAGAATAATTAATAGTACACAAACTATAGATCCTTGATTAATTGTTCAATTTAATGAAATTAATTAAATCACCGTCTTAATTTTTATGGCAAGAGTGGGTCAAATTGGATTACCAGTCAACTTCACTTATCTCAAGCTTTGATTAATCCAGTGTTGATTTCATTGTAAACAAAGTTTATAAAAATATTTTTAATTATGGAAAACTAATTCAATTACACCTATATCAAATAAAAACAATGAAAAGATCTTATTGTACTATTGAAATCATAGTTTTGTTGAAAATTTAATGAATTTTTACATATATTCAGAATCAAAATTTAGATAAACCCATCACATAAGACCTTGCATCCATCACCACTGGGATATCATATATACAAAATTCGTCAATAATTCACCTTATATGTTATATTGTATACTCATAGGCACTGTTTAAAAAACGGAAAAGGGTCAAAAATACCTTTAAACTATCCGAAATAGCTCATATATATCCTTAAACTATATTTCGGCTCAAAACTACCCTTCCCGTCAAACTATTGGGTCAAAAATACCCTTCTTATTAACGGAAGTTGTTAAATGCCATGTGGATGCCACATTGCATGCCAATACTAATTACTCTTTTTTTCCACTGCCACATAGACTAAATCCCTAAATCCTAATTACTCTTTTTTTTCCCTCATTTCATTATTTTCCGGACACGATTTCACCCCTTCTCCTCATTGAAGTTTCGTTTTTGTCTAGATTTTGTGATGTTTATTTCTAGTTTTTACTTAATGTTTGGTAATGCATTTCTTCATTAGGATTTAGGGGTGAAATCGTTTCTGGAAAATAATGAAATGAGGGAAAAAAAAGAGTAATTAGGATTTAGGGATTTAGTCTATGTGGCAGTGGAAAAAAAGAGTAATTAGTATTGGCATGCAATGTGGCATCCACATGGCATTTAACAACTTCCGTTAATAAGAAGGGGTCAATAATTCACCTTATATGTTATATTGTATACTCATAGGCACTGTTTAAAAAACGGAAAAGGGTCAAAAATACCTTTAAACTATCCGAAATAGCTCATATATATCCTTAAACTATATTTCGGCTCAAAACTACCCTTCCCGTCAAACTATTGGGTCAAAAATACCCTTCTTATTAACAGAAGTTGTTAAATGCCATGTGGATGCCACATTGCATGCCAATACTAATTACTCTTTTTTTCCACTGCCACATAGACTAAATCCCTAAATCCTAATTACTCTTTTTTTTCCCTCATTTCATTATTTTCCGGACACGATTTCACCCCTTCTCCTCATTGAAGTTTCGTTTTTGTCTAGATTTTGTGATGTTTATTTCTAGTTTTTACTTAATGTTTGGTAATGCATTTCTTCATTAGGATTTAGGGGTGAAATCGTTTCTGGAAAATAATGAAATGAGGGAAAAAAAAGAGTAATTAGGATTTAGGGATTTAGTCTATGTGGCAGTGGAAAAAAAGAGTAATTAGTATTGGCATGCAATGTGGCATCCACATGGCATTTAACAACTTCTGTTAATAAGAAGGGTATTTTTGACCCAATAGTTTGACGGGAAGGGTAGTTTTGAGCCGAAATATAGTTTAAGGATATTTTTGACCTTTTTTTTTATATTATAGCGGAGTTACAAAGTTAATAAATCTCTAAAAAGTTGTACAATCCATCTAAGATTTTTATTTTATTTATATATTAACTTTCAAATCTTTAATAGGCAAATTAAAGGTTACATTATTTTAAATTATAAATTTGATTTTCTTGGATTTTTTATTAAGACACAACAAATGTAGCAATCAAACAGGTATTCAAATTACCCAACAAATCATATTGAAAATCTTGAAGCAATTCATGTTAAGATGATGGATTCTGATGGAGGTGTCTCTGCTTGAGCTTCGGTAATCAAATATGTAACAACAAAAGAGGCGAAAGAAGCAATTCATAAAAAGATTTGTAAATTAATTGTTCATGTTTGAAGAAGAATTAACAGAATAGCTAATTTAAGTAAAAGTACAATGAAACAATTGATTCTAGAATAGATAGCTGGACATTTTTTGCTGCTATGATCATTTCACACCCTAGATTTGTCTTGGTCATAATATTATTTTAATAATTTAATACTTTTATATTCTCATTTTCCTATTATGTGATTTGTTTCTTCTTACAACTTAATTAGCTGTTGCAACCGCGTGGAATATGGCTCCACATGTTCACAAGCAACTTACACCAAACATATATTATATAAGGTTTGATTATTTAATTTGACGTAAAAATCTAGGTATATTATATAAGTTTCTATGGTTACAAAGTTGTCACTAAACACATTTATTAGTTCACAACCAAATTAGGCCCTCATGTCCCCAACCAATATATTTATGGGACCAAAATAGCCTTTAAAATAAAGGTCGCGTGTTTAATGAAAAATTAAGAGCATTTCTGACCTTTTTCCGTTGTGCAATGTTAAACAATGGAGAAAGTATATGCGAAAACATAATAACTAGGCTTAAAATTGGCATTTTTTTGGAGGACAAGTTCAACTTGCAACATCAAAACTATCATTCCTGGATTTTATGTACTAATCTACCAATGACTTGTTTCTAGATCAAAATCACCTCCAATGTTGTTGTTTAGATCTACTAAAAACATGTCGGACAAAATATGAGACAGAGAAGCCACATAACGCGTAGCAGCAACATTCTCTTCTCCTGCAAAAGTCATTAGAGTTGTTTGTTAGAGAGACAAACATGGCCAGTCATGACAACAAGAAAGTTATACATTGTTATAGACATGGATTTTAAAGGACAATGGCCCTCAAAAAGACATAATATATGGTGTTGTTTAATCTCTAGTAGCTAGCAATAACATATATGTGTGATCATGTTTCCCATTTTTCATCTATAATTAATTAATGTGCTCTATAAGAATTGACATATTTAGTCCCTTTGGTTATTCTTGCATTTTTGTCTCCAGCTATATAATAATACAACTAGCTGTAACCCTGATAGTACAGTTGTCTGCAGACATTATAAAAATCAAGAATTGTGACTTCGGACTCAGACTACACTTGTGAGATTATACTTGTATGTTATTGTTGTAACTGTTACTTCTCTATGCAAATCACAACTTCAATCCAATAAAAAAGTTGTCTTTATTCATTGTTAATTCAATAAAAACTCATACTATATAAGAAGCAATATGTACCTGGATTTTCAAAAGGCTTCACTGCTTGAGGTTGAGGTTGAGGTTGAGATTTCAGTACTTGCAGTCTCGTTGGCATTGTTTACTCTTATGATATATGCCTACACAACAAAGGAGAGAACAAGAGTTAGCCCAAAAATTCAAAGCAAGAGCCTCAAAATGATGAATGTGTACATCGATCAAGATTTCATCACACTCGTGTCAATGGAACATTGTAATTCGAAACAGTGTGTTATTGAACAATGTTGCAGCTCAACTTTGTTGAACATGAAATTTGAGCTAAAGGTGTTCAATGACAAGCTTACAAACATCCTTATTCAGAAGAGTTACCTTGAATTTTGTTGGACGAATCAAATGAAACACGATTGTATCTCCATCGGCCAAGTCATGATCCACAGAAAACCTCTTCCATCCACCACTAAGTCCACATTTTTGAGCCAAGTATACAGTTGGCCATTCTTCTCCTGTTTCATCTATTAAGGTGATAGTGTCATCTCTTCTTGGAAGGTTCTTCCTGCAGAAATTCGATGGGAGACCCTGCAGCATGAGTTGCAAATGAGTTAGTGTCCGCCTTCACTCAACAACAACTACAACTACTACTACTACAGACAATCCTAAGCAAGTTGTGGTCTGCAATGTGGATCCTCACTGCCCATATCGCTCTATTTAAGCATCCGTCTTTTCATTCTAAACTAATACAATGATCAAATTGCTAGGTGTTTAGAATTGACAACCTAATCATCACTACAGACAAGAATGCAAAGCCCTCAAAAGATAGCAACAGTAAGCTACTCATTGTGTTGGCATTGGGCAATAGCACCCTGCATCCAGTTATCCCAAGCAGACGCTTAAGAGGCACATAAAGAGAAGCATTTTAGCCATAATATATAACTATGCTTTCTGCAATGATCTTATCAAAGCTCAGTACTTTCTGAAGTTAAACTTCTTTTGATTAACGAGAATTTCGGTCCAGAGCCGACCCTTTAGGCCAATCACAACTTCCAAAATTCGGACCCCGTCCCTCTACCTTCTCCACTTAGATACTACATTTAGTTCGCTTAGCATAGGACTCGAACATGTGACCTTTAACACTAGTACCTCAACCTTTGCCAATTGAGCTAACCCTTGTGCACTAAGGGCTCCTTTGGTTGGGAACAAGTTATCTGGGATAACTAATTCCAAGATAAGTTATAACCCAACTTTATCTCAACCAAACATGAGATAAACTCATCCTGAAATTAATTCTGAGATTATCCTTATCCTTCCTACCAAACAAGCCCTAAGTGTGAACTTCATTTGGTCCATACTTTTACACTCTTCAGAAATGCAAACTGAGTTCTAAAGAGGACTATAATCAATGAAATTTTTTGCGCAAATATAAGATTACTATCAATCAAGTGTGCCTCAATACACTCTATATTTCCACTTCATTTAGACATCTGTTTCATTTCAATACTGAGTTATCCAACTTTTTAAGACAAAAATAGACTTAAGATTGAATAACTCACCAGCCAAAAACCTCCAGAAACATGAGAGGGAAGCATTGGTCTAACTAATATAGGATACTCTGATCCAAGACTTGCTTCAAGTTTCTCAGCTTTCTCTATCGAAGCAGCTCTTTCTTCGTCCGAAGCATACGCAAAAAACAACCTATCCCTCTTCGTTGGTGTAGCCAACCTAAACAAAACAAATGTGAATATAAAGCTATTTCATTTTCACCTGCAACAATGGATTCAAGAAAAGTAATAAAAATGAAATCTTTTGTTACAAAAAAATAAAGTGTTACCTTCTTGGTATCATCACTCTTTCATAATGAATCACCTGTACTCCAAAAAACATATAAATATTTGTAAAAAATTACTCAAAAATGAGGGAAAACAAAAACAAAAGGATAAAGTGTACTACTTCTTTGTATTCAGGAGCAGGGCTTTTAGCTACACGAGGTGATCTTCGCACAGCAACTAGCTCTGTTCCGACAATCCGAGGTTTTGTTTTCTTCATCTATAATTACCCATAAACAAAAAAGAGAAAAATGAGTTAATCTTTTGAGATAAATGCTAAAAAGAAAGGATTTTTATTATTTTTTTTAGCTTAAAGAAGATGAATTTACAGGAGTAGTTTTGGGGGAAGTTGAATTTTTGAGAGCTTGAGTAAGCAGAGGAAGATTAAGTTCTTCCATTCTTTTCTTGTTTTCTTCCAATCTCTGCTTCCGCAAATCCTCATATTTCACCATTTTTCTTTTCGATTTGATGAAAACAAAAGGTAATCTTACACAAGAGATGGAAGAAAACAAAAAGAGTTCTTTTGAGCAGAAGCAGAATATTTGTACAATAAAAAAATTTACTCCATTTTTATAGAAAGTAGAGCACAGTCGACCGTTGGAATACCACTTCAGTACTCACGTACCTCCGCACCCCCACTCAACACATCCTCTGTATTAGTGTACGGAATTAACTTCTTATTGGGCAATGTCTAATCAAACCGCCAAATTAGTGATTTCAAATCTTTTTTCTTTTAGGGTGTGTTCATGTTTTATTCGAAAATACTTTTTAGGAAAATAATTAAGTTTCTTACCTATCTTTTGGTGTTCGGGAGTATATTAAAAATGTTTTATGTATGATTTAGATAAACACGGAGTGGTGATGGTGGGATGTGTGGTTGTGGGGTAGGGTGGGGCTTAGGGGATGAGGGTGAGGACAAAGTGTGTTGGAAGGTGTGAGGTTATTAATGTGAAATGTTACTTGTGGAACTTGATGTCTCTAAATTTGAATGTGAAAAAAATTGATTTTTTTTTAAATTCGTATCGAACACACCCTAAATCTTGATATGGCAAATTTCAATGATCAAATGAAGTAAATATATGCGTTAACTAACCATGGTTAAGTGATAATTGTGTGTTTTAAAATATATATCATGCCTCTATTAATTTGATGTGAACATTGTGTGATCTTACTTAACGCTACTCCCTTTGTTCATGCTATTTCCCTTTTAATATGCTAAAAAGATGCATTTTTATATTGAAATACAATTTAAGTCTAAAATTATCATTTTACCTTTAATGACTTAATTTTATAATCGTAAAAGTATCAGGACATGTTTAAGATGGTAAAATGTAGAATCAAGAAATGAGTCATGTCAATTAATGTCCATTTCTATTCACTTGGACCCATTTTATATAATAAATCTTCATTATTATTCTATTTATATTCAACGTCAACTCGAACATAAAATCAATAATATGAGCAAATTCACACGGTCAATTGACCATTTGTTTGAATTAATGTCCATTTTTATTCATTTGGACCCATTTTATAGTAAATCTTCATCATTATTCTATACCCGAGCATAGAAGAGCAAATTCACACGGTCAACCGACCATTTGTTGGATTAATGTCCATTTTTATTCATTTGGACCCATTTTATAGTAAATCTTCATCATTATTCTATACCCGAGCATAGAAGAGCAAATTCACACGGTCAACCGACCATTTGTTGGATTAATGTCCATTTTTATTCATTTGGACCCATTTTATAGTAAATCTTCATCATTATTCTATACCCGAGCATAGAAGAGCAAATTCACACGGTCAACCGACCATTTGTTGGATTAATGTCCATTTTTATTCATTTGGACCCATTTTATATAGTAAATCTTCATCATTATTTTATATGCTGACCGTCAATCTGAGCATGGAATAATATGGTACCTACAATACCAGAAAGAATCTTGTTGGGAGCGGCATCTCCATAAATGGATCCTTACAATGCACAAATCTGGATAAGTCGGGCTCCAATGCGGGTAGCTGGAGATGGATCCTTACAATGCACAAATCTGGATAAGTCGGACTCCAATGTGGATAGTGGACACTAGGTGGGAAACACAAAAAGACTAAACAGTAAATACAGCTCAAAAATAAAGTCACCTCCCTTGTGACTGTTTGAAATCCCTTCTGATTCTTGAAGCAAAAAATATAAATTTATATTCTACATCAGCAAAGTGAAATTCTGTACAATCAGAGTAATGCAACAAATGAAAATGGAAAGCTTCATAACATTAACACTTGGTAAAATTTATCTTCTTTACACAGCAAACTCTATCCAAAATTAGGCTTACATTTAGCCGATTTAAGTAATGTACCTCTGGATTCCTGCGAGTTGTCCTTATTTCACCAACAAAATGAACAAGCAAGCCTAAGAGTCATTCTCGATTTTCTTTTTCCATGGCATTCTCATGTCGGTGTATTCTTGATGTTCTCTTCACTAAGATCATGAACTGCAAATCCTACAATCTTGAACGGCGAATGCATTTCATAGGATTGAAAGGTGAATGCCTTCGAGTTGATGAAAATGATGCCTTCCTGAAAGTTGGCGATGACCTTATGTCCCAGTCTTCAACAACTTTTGGAACACACACATCAAATAGAACTTGACCAAGAACACCATGAGCATTGATTCTTGGTGGGCTTGATAGGGGAATGTATCGTTCTTTCTGTTCGTGCTGAACTGACCCGCCATTACTGCCCTCGTGATACTCCACAGAGTTGGGTACCAAGAAGTGGTCATTTAACTCAAGGGAAATGCTCTGGAAGCTTTGATTTGCAGTAGCAGCAGCTTTTCTAAGATTGCCTAGAGGCTCAGAGATTCCATCATGTGACCCTTCCAACACCATCTTCTCCCCTTCAAGCTGACGAATTCTTTGAGAATAGATCATAGCAGCTTTTCCAAGAAGCTCAGTCACTGCAGCCTTGTATTCATGTTGGTGGTACCGATAGTGACCTGGTTGACGCAAGTCACAATAGAAGAGTTTCATCAAAATCACATGATTGTGAAAAGCTGTAAAACCTGAATATGCATAATAACCAGAAATGTACTATCTTGTGCCAATTCCAACTTGATAAATCCTAGAAAAATGTCTATCTCGCTAACAATTCCACAAAACAATGTGCTTTATCTCAGAAATGACAGAGAGACGCATCGATTGGATTGCAATTAAAAATCGACGGGAGATGTCAACAAGACTGCTTTGGATTGGGAGGAACGGAAAGAGAGCGAGCTTGACTACAGAAGATCAAGATTCTTGTGAATGAATATATGCAACTCCAGTTCTTGCAACTGTGTCTTTTGGTCTTCCCTGAGCTACTAAACTCCTTGAAACTCAACATCCATGGTTACTAGATACTTTCATTCCGAAGTTTTATTCATTTTTCTCCTCCTAAGGTGTAAAAAGATAATATATCATGAAGCCAACTTCTGGTCCTCTACTGACAGTTGTTATCAGAATCTAAATAGCAAATATAGTAATATTAGGATTTTAATTTATTGATATCTAACAGACCGAACCTCTGGAACATGAAGCAAGAAAGATTTCACAGGATTAACACCATACCTACGTGAGGGGAGCTACTCCATTTTAGTAGTTTGACATCAGAGCCAAGATCTTTAAGTCGCTGAGCAAAATTGCAAATAGTTTGGCAGGGAGCAAGATCATCATCTTCTGAGCACAATATGAGATATGGAGCTCTCGTGCTCTGCGAGAAAAACATTACTAAGCCAAGCAGTTATACATGGGGGTGGGGGGCAAAAATGAGTAAAAGGTGAGAGACACTCACAACAGAAGCATATAGAGTCTGCCAAAACTCGGCACGGTGTGATTCAAATCTTTTAAGGAAGAGGGCATCCATACTGGAAGCAATTCCATTTACTATCCATGAGGCAAGGCGAGGAGGACGTGACATTCCAAGAATGGTTGGATGTAGTATAAATTTAGTACCCAGATCACTAGTAAAGTCAACTGGAGAAGAATCGAAAATGTAGCCCGAAAGACAGTCTCTAACAAGTCGGAACTCACCCTTCATATTAAACAAATTATCAGATCAGAGATCACTGACAGTGTAATCACTTCACTTTAAAAAGCAAGGCAATGGACTATCACAATTAGGAAGCGGGTGTGGTGGAGGTATCATAAATTTATAAGATAAAGCAACCAGAACATGACAAAAGGAAGAGGAGGATTATGATATACTAACGGTGTTCCTGGTATATAGAAATTTTTTAGATAGAAATGTACAGTAAGATTGAAAATTTGAAAAAACAAATCATGTTTTGGAATGGAAATTAAGTTGGCATTTAACCACTTCGCTGATGCCCAGGCTTGTCTCTTTGTAGCAAACAAGAAAAACATAAACATTGTGAGAGAAAAACATAATGGAGTATACCAGATTGGCATGTTCTTCATATTTGCCCTCGATTATCTGTGATCAAATTAAAAGAAAAAAAGAAATTAGTTCACCAACTAGAAACACTATAGTAGAAAAGAAATAAATACTTCAAACTGTTGCATGTACTGTACTGACATACATATGGGCAACGATGATCATACTACATTTTTCAAAGAATTGTTCTTTACCTGGAGAACCTTATACATGCATGCTTTTGGTCCACCAGAAAAAGATGCAAAGACAACAGGGCATGGTCTAACTTTTAGCTCCTACACATACAACATTAAACAAAGTGGTCGTTAGAAAGTCATAACATGACAGAAACATGGCTATTGAATTTTATATGATAATAACAAAGTCATTCATTCTTGTTAGGTTAGTCAGAGAGATTTGAAGAAATAAATTACTAAGGTCTCGATGGAATATACACACATAGATGAGGTTGTATAACCATGTGCGAGTAAATGGGAAAAGGAAATATACAGAAAAGATAAGCCATTGAGACTTTTATTAGATTTGTTGAGTTTGGATATATCTTTTTAGCAGGGCCATTGCTATTCAAACATGTCAATTTTTTCAAGCAATGTGTAAATTAATATGCTTAGAGTCTTCGAGAATGGAAATGGTTAACTGTTCCCAAATCAGGCATGTAAGCAGGTAATGGGTTCACTAAAGTTCCTAGGTCTTCTCATGTGATTCCACTTCGGAAGGACCAGAAATGTAAAGAGTTCAAAACAAGTTTGCTATAAGTTTGGTGATGACTCCACCGACTTTTGGGAGATTGCTTGTTGGGCCACTCCTCTCTGAGATATGTTCATCCTGAATAATACACTCTCCTAGAAGCCAAAGAGGCTCGACTTTCAGATCATCTGAAATTTGTACTAATTGGCCTCTCATGGGATCGTAATTCAGAAGGCCATGCCGTTAATAGGAGTAAAATCGGATTTAAACTTTCAACTTCATTTTGGAATGAAAAGAAAGGAATTTGTCGTTTGGTTCTTTGACATCTTGTAGAACTTTCTTACCACATCTTCAATTATTGAAGGAGAACATGTAATAAAGTTGACATGCATCATATGGGAGCAGAGCTCTTACTGTCCATGAGATTTTAATAAGATTATCCATATAATAAAGCTTTCACAACCTGTCAATGAACTTTTTCGTGT